CTGTCACCCAGGCTGGAGTGCAGTGGCACAATCTCGGCGCACCACAACCTTCACCTCCCTGGTTCAAGCAATTCTCTGCCTCAGCCACCCGAGGAACTGGGATTACAGGTGCCCACCACCACGCCCAGCTAATTTTTGTATTTCTAGTAGAGACAGAGTTTCACCATCTTGGTCAAGCTGGTCTTGAACTCTTGACCTCGTGATCCACCTGCCTCAGCCTCCCAAAGTGCTGGGATTACAGACGTGAGCCACCACACCTGGCCTGTGGCCACCTTTTCTAATATTTCTAATGGAATTTTAAAAATATTTAAATGTTTTTATTTCAATTTTTATTTCACAGATATTGTTTCATATCTCTCTCTGATAATTTTTAACATATCTAAAATCATTCCTGAGCTGTTACATAAAATTAGTTTTTTTAATTGGGTTTTATACTTGCTGATTTTTGTTGGCTTTGTTTCTTAGTGTTTTTATTTCTTCATGTGTGTGGCATTTTTGAGATGGTTATTTTGAGTAGTAAGCTTAGAGTTCTGTTTTCTCTCCTTTCCCTCTTCCATGTTCCCCTCTCTCTATCTAATAGGTTTCCTGTTGCCTCTACCTGTTCCCTCTACTTACCACTTAGGTAAGAATCAGGTATAAAAACAGTGGGTCAGACAGGACATGGTGGCTCACACCTGTAATCTTAGCTCTTTTGGAGGCCGAGGCAGGAGGATTGCTTGAGCCCAGGAGTTGGAAACCAGCCTCTCAAGATGTAACGAGAACCCATCTCTATAAAAAATACCAAAAAAAAAAAAAAAAAAAAAAGGCAGGCATGGTGGTGTACGCCTGTAGTCCCAGCTACTTCGGAAGCTGAGGTGGGAGGGATTGCTTGAGTCTAGGAGTTTGAGGTTGCAGTGAGCCTTCAGCCTAGGTGACAGAGCAAGACCCTGTCAAAACAAAAACAAAAATAAAACGCCATAAAAACAGTGAGTTAGATTAAGGATATCACAGATCAAATCGGTCAGTAGTTCTTTCATTTCCTGGGTTGGAGGCCTTCTCACAGTCCTCTCCCTTTCTCAGTTCTCTAACTTTCTCAAAATATTAAACTGTCATCAGCAAATTTTATAATCTCTTTGTAGGAGCCAAGGTGACACATCCTCACTCCCGGCCTCAAGCAATGAACTGGTTCCATTCTAATGGAGCACTTTTCATTTTTATTACTTCATGGAAGCCTGCATCTTGGCTGTCACTGCCTGATTACAGAACCAGAATTGAGGAGGCCCGTAGCTTCAGCCCTCCTTACCGTGTTACATTTCTGTTTCGTTTCTGTTCCATAAATCTGTCTTGTGTTAAATCTAGATAATGTCTGTTTGTCTCTCTGTTTTCTGTATTATTGCTTCTACTTTGGAGCAGAACTCCTTCATCAAAGCCTGAATGCGTTACACTATCTGGCCGTTCACTAGCTCCTTTTAAGTTTTGTTCCATTTTTAAATATTAGATCCAGTAAAAAAAGAATATATATATATAGAGAGAGAGAGAGAGAGAGTTCTAGTAGCTTGTTTATAATATTATGATACAAGTCTAAATTAAAACTTTAGCCTGGATTAGAAAATTACCATTTTGCAGTTCCACATCTAATATTTGTTTCAGGCAAGGATGATGAATGGTTGCTAAACTATCAAATGAACAGTTGCTGGGGAATAGAATATTTGTGTGGTACCAAACTGTCATCCCATAGATCATATACTAATTACAAAGGGAAAGATACATTTTAATGGAAAGCTCTCATAGTCACCTCCTTAACCAACTAATCAAACTTAGCTTCACAAATGAGGAGGCAATAATATGGCATTTTATGTGCCTCCTAAAGTAATACTGTGTGAAGTAAACAATAGCACTTATGAGTTATTCTTGCCAAAAAATATTGAACCTGATTCTAATCAAACTGTTAAATGCAATCTTAATTTAATAAGAGGCGAAATAAGAGTACAAGTTAAACAACACTTTGGGGAAACACAAATCTGGGGGTAGGACATTTCTTTTTTTTTTTTTTTTGAGACAGAGTCTCACTCTGTTACCCAGACTGGAGGGCAGTGGCATGATCTCAGCTCACCGCAACCTCCGCCTCCCGGGTTCAAGCTATTATCCTCCCTCAGCCTCCCGAGTAGCTGGGACTACAGGCGCCCACCACCATGTCTGGCTAATTTTTGTATTTTTAGTAGAGACAGGGTTTCACCATGTTGGCCAGGATGGTCTCGAACTCCTAACTTCAGGGGATCCGCCTGCCTCGGCTTCCCAAAGTACTGGGATTACAGGCATGAGCCACCACACCTGGGCTGGGGGTAGGACATTTCTAGAAAAAAAACTGGGTTGACTCTTTAGAAGGTCAGGGATATTTGAAAAAATTGAATTGTTCTAGTTTAGAAAATAAAAGAAACAAAACAACCAAATGCAGTGTGTGAGCCTGAATTGAATTTTTGTTCAAAAAAAAGTTTTAAAAGATATTTTTGACTCATGTAGCACAATAATTTAAAAAGCAGCAATAAAAAAGCTAAGCCAAGTGCAATGGCTCATGCCTGTAATCCCAACACTTTGAGAGGCAGAAGTAGAAGGATTGCTTGAACCCAGGTATTTGAGACTAGCTTGGGCAAAAAAGTGGGACCCTCATCTCTACCAAAAAGTTAGCTGGGAGTGGTGGTCTCAGCTACATAGGAAGCTGAGGCAGAAGGATCACTTGAGCTGTGTTTGCACCACTGCACTCCAGCCTCAATGACAGAGGGAGACCCTGTCTCCAAAAAAAAGAAGGCAAACTTAAAAGTGGGCAAAGTATCTGAACAGATATTTCTCCAAATAAGATTGCAAAATGACTAATAAGTACATGAAAATATGCTCAACATCGTTAGCCGTCAAGAAAATGCAAATTAAAACCACAGTGAAATACCACTTCATGCCCACTAGGATAGCTATAATGAAAAATATAAGAGCAGATGTGGCCAAGGATGTGGAGAAATTGGAAACCCTCATATATTGGCGAGAATGTAAAATGGTACAGTTGCTTTGGAACACAATCTGGCAATTCCTCAAAAGGCTAAATGTAGAGTTTCCATATAACCCAGCAAACATGTCCATACAAAAACTTGCACATAAATGGTCATTGCAGTATTATTTGTAATAGCAAGAAGTAAAAACAGCCCCAATATACATCAACTGATGTGTGAATAAATATAATTTGGCAATAAAAATGAATGAAATACAGTTGGCCTTCCACATCTGAGGATTCAACCAACTGTGGATCAAAAATAGTCAGAAAATAGGCCAGACGTGTTGGCTAATACCTGTAATCCTGACATTTTGGGAGGCCGAGGTGGGAGGATCACTTGAGGCCAGGAGTTGGAGGCTGCAGTGAGCTATGATCATGCCACAATGCTCTAGCCTGGATAACAGAGTGAGACCCTGTCTCTTAAAAAGGAAAAAAAAAAAGCAGAAAAAAAAATTGCACCTGTACTGAACATGTACAGACCTTTTTCCTTGTCATTATTTCCTAAACACTACAGTATAACTAATTACATAACATTTACACTGTGTTAAATACTATAATCTAGAGATGATTTTAAGTATACAGGAGGGTGTGCATAGGTTAAATGCAAATAGCATATTGTTTTATATTAGGGACTTGAGCATTCATGAATTTTGGTATCTGAAGGAGGTTTTGAAACCACTCCCCCACAGATACCAAGGGCTGCCTGTACAGATACATGCTATAAAATGGATAAACCCTGGAAACATTATGCTAAGTGAAAGAAGCCAGTCACAAAATACTACATATTGTATGAGTCCATTTACCATAGATCCTCATTATTTGTGGATTCTGTATTTTCAAATTGGTCTGCTCACTAAAATTTATTTGTAATCCCAAAATCAATATTCCTGGCATTTTCACAGTCATTTGAGGGCAAACATAGATCAGGTAAAAATCTGAGTTGTCCCTCAGCTGACAACTGAGGAACAACCGAGAGACAAAAAAAGCAACACTCTGGTTTCTTATTTCAGCTCTCATGCTGTAAACAGTTGTCCTTAACAAAGTCTGTTTAGTGCCGGGTTTTTTCACATTTTTGAATGGTGATTTTGCTGTCTAAAATGGCCCCCAAGCATAGTGCTGAAGTGATCTCTAGTGTTCCTAAGCACAGGAAGGCTGTAGTGTGCCTTACAGATACAATACAGGTGTTAGATAAGCTTCATTCAGGCAGGAGCTATTGTGCTGTTGGCCATGAGTTGTTAATGAGTTAACAATATACCTGGAATAAAGTGACTTTAAACAGAAACACATATAAAATAAGTATATGTATTGACTGATTGATGAAAGAAGCAATGATTTGGTATCTGCTGGTTCAGAGTTCACAGTGACTTTACAGAATATAACTATGTTAAATAACAAGAATTAACTATATATGAAATGTCCAGAATAGACAAGTCTAGGTACAGAAAGTAGACTCATGGTTGCCAAAGATGGGTGGAGGGGTGGGCAGGAAATGGGGAATACCTGCTGATGAATATGGGGTTTCTTTTGTGAGGTGATGAAAATCTTCTGAATTACACATGGTGATAGTTACACACCTCTGTGAGTATACTAAAAACTATTAAATTATAAACTTTAAAATGATGCCTGGGCACAGTGACTCACACTTGTAATCCTAGCACTTTAGGAAACCAAGGCAGTGGATCATTTGAGCCCAGGAGATTGAGACCAGCTGGGCAACATGGCAAAACCCCATCTCTATAAAAAATTAGCCAGGTATGGTGGCATGCGCCTGTAGTTCCAGCTGCTCAGGAGGCTGAGGTGGGAGGATCACTTGAGCCTGGGAGGTTGAGGCTACAGTGAGCTTTGATTGTGCTACTATACTCCAGCCTGGGCAACAGAAGAAGTTGTCATAGCACCAGGTATATAGGAGGTGTTTAATAGTTACTTTGAATTGAATTTATTGTATGCTTAAATAACTGTTTTGAATCTTTTTTGGTTTTAGATCTGCTGATTTGGGTCCTACTTTAATGACAAGACCTGGACAACCAGCACTTACCAGAGTGCCCCCACCTATTCTTCCAAGGCCATCACAGCAGACAGGAAGTAGCAGTGTGAACACTTTTAGACCTGCTTACAGTTCATTTTCTTCTGGATATGGTGCCTATGGAAATTCATTTTATGGAAGCTATAGTCCTTATAGTTACGGATATAATGGGCTGGGCTACAACCGCCTCCGTGTAGATGATCTTCCACCCAGTAGATTTGTTCAGCAAGCTGAAGAAAGCAGCAGGGGTGCATTTCAGTCCATTGAAAGTATTGTGCATGCATTTGCCTCTGTCAGTATGATGATGGATGCTACCTTTTCAGCTGTCTATAACAGTTTCAGGGCTGTATTGGATGTAGCAAATCACTTTTCCCGACTGAAAATACACTTTACAAAAGTGTTTTCAGCTTTTGCATTAGTTAGGACTATACGGTATCTTTACAGAAGGTTACAGCGGATGTTAGGTTTAAGAAGAGGCTCTGAGAATGAAGACCTCTGGGCGGAAAGTGAAGGAACTGTGGCATGCCTTGGTGCTGAGGACCGAGCAGCTACCTCAGCAAAATCATGGCCAATATTCTTGTTCTTTGCTGTTATCCTTGGTGGTCCTTACCTCATTTGGAAACTATTGTCTACTCATAGTGATGAAGTAACAGGTAAGAGAACTGTAAGGGAACAGGTTCAGATACCATATAACAATCTCAAATTTCAAGAATATATTTGTTAGTTTTCTTTATATTCGTTTGTATTTACTGTTTCTGTCTAGTTCTATTTTCATTTAAGAGCTTCAAAACTGGCAGAGGAATATGTAGCAAAAATAGATTTGCTAATTAATTTATTGTTAGTTCAGTTTAACAGTGCACATTACCTTACTGTTTACAAGGTACTGAAATTGGTGCTGTGGAGGATACAAAGATACATAGGGCATAATTCCTATCTTTCTAAAATTTGTTGGAAGGGAGGTGGTTTAAGACACATACACAGGTAATTGTAATGAGGCAGAAAATGTGATAAATAACAACAACTGGGGAGAGACATAAGATTTCTTGAACCCTTTTTTAAGATGCAAGACACTGTGCTAGGTATTTTGTGTGTTTTATCTCATTTATTTCAACAACCCAAGCAGATAGGAATTATCCTCATTTTGCAAGTGATAAAACTGAAATCCAGAGAACTCACTTACCCAAGGGTCACATCTTTAATAAGGCAGAACTATAAACAAAATGAGGACTGGTTGATGAATGTTATGCTATATTCTCTCAACTAGTAGAGAGTATTAGCTAACTTTCGAAAAGGGAAGCTAACATTTTTGACTGTGGTATCCAGGAAGAAATGGTATCTAAGTTAGATTTTTGAAAGCTAGGCAACCTTTCATCAGTTAGATAAAGAAACAAAAACTGTCAAGCTGATAGACCAGCTTGAACAAAAGTATATAGGCAGAAAATACGAGATTTGTTTAGCAGTTGTCCTATAGTATTGCATTGGATAGTAAGAAATAATGCTGAGAAATTAGGTTGAAAGCTAATAGTAGAAGCTCTTAATTGACATTATGAGACTTAATCTTTAGGTAAGGAATGGATGGTTTTTTGGTAGTTTATGTTTGTTTTTATTTTTAAGCAGATTGTGACATACATGTAAACAATAAGTCAGTCTGAAGTGTTTAAGATAAATCAGTAGAAGTCAAAGCAGGTTGTAATTAGATGGTAAAGTGCATAAAGGATTTGGATTGTGTTCACCTTTTATTCCTACTGTCTAACCTGCTTGGCACATAGAAGGTACTTAATATTTATTAAATTGGGGACATCAGTTATGATACTTTTGTATTAGACTATTTGAGAGATAATGAAGACCCAAAATAGAGTGTGTGAGAAGCAGGATTCATATAATAGATTCAGTGGATGTAGTTACTGACTAAATGAGATATATAAAGGCAAAGTAGAAATCAAAATGCCCTAGACCTTTAAATTTGGGTTATAGAGGGATGTTTTATTCATTGACTCAATACATATTTGTTGGGTGCCAACTATATACCAAAGAATTCTCAGAGCTAGGGATATAACAATGAATAAAATATATTTTAAAAATCTCTGCCTTTGTGGCTATCTAATAGGGAGAAACAGTAAATAAATAAGTAAAATATATAGTAAGCCAGAAGGTAAGTGCTATAGGGGAAAAAACAAAACAGGGAAGAATGTTGGGAGTGTCAGGAGTACAGGAGTAGGAACAGGGATTGCAATGCTACATATAGTCAGGGAATGCCTCCCTGAAGGAATTAAGGGAATAAGTCCTACAGCTCTTTGAAGGAAGAGTGTTTTGAGGCATATGGAACAGCAAAAGTGCAGAGGTATTTAAGTGGCATGTCATGGGAACAGGAAGGAGGCAAGTGTGATTGGAGCAAAGTGTTAGTGGCAGGAAATGAAGGGAGTAGATGGTATAAGTTGTAGACATGTGTAAGAACATTGGCCTTTATTCAAAAATGGGAAACCGCTGGAGATTTGTGAGTAAAGGAGTAATATGACCTGACTTAGTTTTGTTTTTTTTTTTTTTTTTGTGGGGGGACACAGTGTTGCTCTGTCACCCAGGCTGGAGTGCAGTGGCATGACCTCAGCTCACTGCAACCTCCACTTCCTGGGTTAAAGCAATTCTCCTGCCTCAGCCTCCCAAATAGCTGGGACTACAAGTGTACGCCGCAACACCTGGCTAAGTTTTTGTATTTTAGTAGAGATGGGGTTTCACTGTGTTGCCCCAGCTGAGTCTCGAACTCCTGAGCTCAGGCAATCTGCCCACCTCAGCCTCCCAAAGTGCTAGGATTACAGGCATGAGCCACCGTGCCCAGCCGATGTAGGTTTTAAAAAGAATACCTTATTGTGGGCAGTTGCTTCCAAGATAGCCAAATAGGAACAGCTCCGGTCTTCAGCTCCCAGCAAAATCAACACAGAAGGTGGGTGAGTTCTGCATTTCCAACTAAGGTACCTAGTTCATCTCATTGGGAATGGTTGGACAGTGGGTACAGCCCATGGAGGGCGAGCTGAAGCAGGGTGGGGCATCGCCTCACCCAGGAAGCACAAGGCATCAGGGGATTTCCCTTTCCTAGCCAAGGGAAGCTATGAGTGACTGTACCTGGAGGAACGGTACACTGCTGCCCAAATACCGTGCTTTTGCCACTGTCCTCACAATCGGCAGACCAGGAGATTCTCTCCTGTGCCTGGCTTAGCAGGTCCCACGCCCACAGAGCCTTGCTCACTGCTAGCACAGCAGTCTAATATCAACCTGCGATGCTGCAGCTTGTTGGGGGGAGCAGCATCTGCCATTGCTGAGGCTTGAGTAGGTCCTAGTGTCAACAGAGCGTCTAGGAAGCTTGAACTGGGCAGAGCCCACTGCAGCTCAGCAAGGACTATTGCCTCTATAGATTCCACCTCTGTGGGCAGGGCATAGCTGAACAAAAGGCAGCAGACAGCTTCTGCAGACTTAAACATCCATGTCTGACAGCTCTGAAGAGAACAGTGGTTCTCTCAGCACGGTGTTCGAGCTTTAAGAATGGAGACTGCCTCCTCAAGCAGGTCCCTGACCCTTGTGTAGCGTGACTGGGAGACACCTCCCAAAAGGGGCCGACAGACACCTCAAACAGGCAGGTGCCCCTCTGGGACAAAGCTTCCAGAGGAAGGATCAGGCGGCAATACTTGTTCTTCTACAGCCTCTGCTGGTGATACCCAGGCAAACAGGGTCTGGAGTGGACCTCCAGCAAACTCCAACAGACCTGCATCTGAGGGGCCTGACTGTTAGAAGGAAAACTAACAAACAGAAAGAAATAGCATCAACGTCAACAAAAAGGACATCCACACCAAAACTCCGTCTGTAGGTCGCCAACATCAAAGACCAAAGGTAGATAAAAGCCACAAAGGTGGGGAGAAACCAGAGCAGAAAAGCTGAAAATTCCAAAAACCAGAGCACCTCTTCTCCAAAAGATCGCAGCTTCTCACCAGCAAGGAAACAAAACTGGGTGGAGAATGAGTTTGACAAGTTGACAGAAGTAGGCTTCCGAAGTTCGGTAATAAACTTCTCCAAGCTAAAGGAGCATGTTCTAACCCATTGCAAGGAAGCTAAAAACCTTGAAAAAAGGTTAGACAAATGGCTAACTAGAATAAACAGTGTAGAAAAGACCTTAAATGACCTGATGGAGCTAAAAACCACAGCACAAGAACTTGGTGACGCATGCACAAGCTTCAATCAAATGGAAGAAAGGATATCAGTGATTGAAGATCAAATTAATGAAATAAAATGAGAAGACAAGATTAGAGAAAAAAGAGTGAAAAGAAATGAACAAAACCTCCAAGAAATATGGGACTATGTGAAAAGACTAAATTTACATTTGATTGGTGTACCAGAAAGTGATGGGGAGAATGAAACCAAGTTAGAAAACACTCTTCAGGATATTATCCAGGAGAACTTCCCTAACTAGCAAGGCGGGCCAACATTCAAATTTGGGAAATACACAGAACACCACGAAGATACTCCTCGAGAAGAGCAACCCCAAGACACATAATTGCCAGATTTACCAAGGTTGAAATGAAGGAAAAAATGTTAAGGGCAGCCAGAGAGAAAGACCAGGTTACCCACAAAAGGAAGCCTATCAGACTAACAGCAGGTCTTGGCAGAAACCCTACAAGCCAGAAGACAGAGTGGGCCAATAATTCAACATTCTTAAAGAAAAGAATTTTCAGCCCAGAATCTCATATCCAGCCAAACTAAGCTTCATAAGTGAAGGAGCAATAAATTCCTTTACAGACAAGCAAATGCTGAGAGATTTTGTCACCACCAGGCTTGCTTTACAAGAGCTCCTGAAGGAAGCACTAAACATGGAAAGAAACAACTGATACCAGCCACTGCAAAACTTGCCAAATTGTAAAGACCATCAACACTATGAGGAAACTGCATCAATTAATGGACAAAATAACCAGTTAACATCATAATGACTGGATCAAATTCACACATAAAAATATTAACCTTAAATGTAAATGGGCTAAATGCCCCAATTAAAATACACAGACTGGCAAGTTGGATATAGAGTCAAGACCCATGAGTGTGCTGTATTCAGGAGACCCATCTCTTGTGCAAAAAAAGCAGGAGTTGCTATCCTAGTCTCTGGTAAAACTGACTTTAAGCAAAGATCAAAAGAGACAAGGCCATTACATAATGATAAAGGGATCACTTCAACAAGAAGAGCTAACTATCCTAAATATATATGCATCCAATATAGAAGCACCCCAGATTCATAAAGTCCTTAGAGACTTACAAAGTCTTAGACTCCCACACAATAGTAATGGGAGACTTTAACACCCACTGTCAATATTAGATCAACGAGACAGAAGGTTAACAAGGATATCCAGGAATTGAACTCACCTCTGGACCAAGCGGACCTAATAGACATCTACAGAACTGTACACCCCAAATCAACAGAATATACATTCTTCCCAGCACCACATTGCACATATTCTAAAATTGACAACATAATTGGAAGTAAAACACTCCTCAGCAAATGTAAAAGAACAGAAATCACAACAAACTGTCTCTCAGACCACAATGCAATCAAACTAGAACTCAGGATTAATAAACTCACTCAAAACCACACAACTACATGGAGACTGAACAACCTGTT